AAAGGAAAGCAGATAAGGGTGGGAGCAGAAGATGCTAAGGTCCATATCGTTTCAGCTAGTTCCTTACCGCTTTTTGACATATAGAACAAGGCTGTTAACGACCCATTTTCCCACATGACCCCTTAGTGAGGGAAGCAAGGTCTATAGAGACAGACAAGGGAATTTGGTGTGGATGAACTGATCTGGCCAGTGCAAAACCCTTTGAGATGAATGACAGTAGAGACTGCAGACAGGTTTTATAATCCATCATCAGTATCTTATCTTAGGAATGAACGTCAATTCCTAGAAATACGCTCCTTAAGCCTGTGCAAAGCCCTCTAGCAAAACTGAAATGTTTTTAACAGCAACTAAAGAAATCTGGACTTACAAGGTATTGAGAAGTCTTCACACTGATTTAACATTTTCCACATATAAACACTTTACAAACTCAGACCCCTGCAGAACATTGTGCAAAGTGACTTTCATTACAGCTCCAGTTCTTTTAGAGTGTGTCTCTTTTATATTTGCACATCTAAAGACAGAAATCATCCTCTCACGGTTTTTACTAACTGTCAGATGCTCTGGAAACAGTCTGAGGGCAACATTTAACCTCTCTGGTGGTGCTTTATCTGCCCAAGATCCTCATATCATGGTATGGTGGTGTAACTTACCATATAGGTGAGTTTGTAAAGGAGAACATACTACCCAGGGTCACTGGATGTTATTTCATGCATTCTATTTGCAGTGAGATGACTTTGAGGCATAAAGCGACAGCAGCCGAGGAGGAGAGGAAAAGAGCTGAACAGGCTCAACGTGAGGCCGAGGCCGAGAGGAGGCAGGCCGACAAAGAGAGGCAGGAGAAGACGGCAGAGTGCCTCAGCTGGAGGGAGAAGCACCAAGAGTTGGCCAACATCATCCAAGCTCTCGAGGACCTAAAAGCTCAGAGGCAGAGCAAAGCAGTAAGGACGGTGCTCTGTCAGACCAGCATACCAACAGTCAGAACGAATGCACAAGATGTCAGATTTTGCGTTTATCCTTTTAGTTTTGAACAAAAAATACAGTTTAAACTACCTCAATGGCCGTGTATCCCTATAGTCATGCACAAAAAAAATTTTTTAGGTCAGATCGCCATACACTTCAAAAAACACCAAAAAGTAAATCATTAAATTGTACTGTAGACATCAGAAATGTCAAATTAGTGTTTAAACCCTTATTGAAATAAAGTTTGTTTTAACAGTATAAACAGCAGCTTATGTCCCTGTGATGCGTCTCTGTGGTAGTGCTTTCCCAATATTCAAAATGCATACTGTGGTTTAAGGCACAATGTTGGGAATCCACTAAAGGATCCCCCTTTCAAACTGAAATGTCTTTCCAACAGTGTCAGGCTAACATCAAGAGCTACCTTTTGTGTATGACTGAGAGCAATCAGCGAGTGAAAATCCTAAAAAATTCTGATGGAACCCCAAGAAATTTCACAGTAAGTTTGCTTTGTTGTTTTTTTTTTCATATAAGAGTGATAATAATCTGCAAAGAGAGAAATAGAAGCACATTATCATCACTTCCTTTTGCATCTCCTAATTCTTCTCAGGAAGGAGATCCTGTATATATTAGCACTCCAGAGGGAGGCCCTGAAGAGCCAGAGATGAACTCCTCCAGGTAGAGTTATGTAGGAGAAAAAAGTTCCTACCAGATCAGACCCTGATTTTAGTAAAAACTTGGATCCTTCAAGGGCATTTTTTTCACTATAGAAAACCAACAGATCCAAACAATTTTGTTTATACAGCTTTCCGACAGTGAATGAGCAGCAGCTTAGCAGTGAAAAGGAAAATTTGTATTCATAAAGTGCAGCAGTGATCAAATGTACACTGTGTGGGAGAGAGGTGGTGCAAAAAAGGCATTGATGGGGAAGGGTCAGAGCACTGCAAAAATACATAAATAGATATGGTGCAAAATGCAGTAAAAAGTAGTTTAGTTGAGTTCTATTTTGAAGATTCACCATGTAGTGCAGGTGTGACGTTATCTGTGTTATGCAGAGTCTCAATTTGTGACTTGATTTAGAGTCTTTCAACAGTTCAGCACCCTGATGGCAGTGGGGGAAAAGCTGTTGCAGAACCTGCTGGTCCTGCATGGAATGCAGCGAAGCTTTTTCGCAGACGCCAGCGGTGCTATCAAAATGATAGCAGTGTTGAGTTCAATAAGGGAGATAAATTCAAGTGTTACTCTGCAAAAACAGAAATCCTAACATTTCTTTAGGAAATAAGCATATTTCCCTTGTTTTGAGCTGGTAAGATAATTTACCAATGTATTTAGAATAAGAAAAAAACTTATTTTATCAAGCACACAATATCTAATAATCTTATTTTAAGGGAAGGGTCAGAGGATCCCTACAAATGGAAAACAAATTCATAAGAACATAAAAAAATAAAAATAAAAAAAGGAAAATAAGTCAAACCTAACTGTTAAGGCTCAGGTAATGAACAGCACCATGGTTACGGTGGGGACTATAATTATCAAAAAGGATACCTGCATGAAGCCACGTTATCAGGTGGAAACCCCTGCAAAGTTCCCAATTTGGCCCAAGAACACATTAATTGACCTTAACAGAAATGCAGCAACTTTTCATGGATAAAAGCAACATTGATATGTTTGGAAGTTTATCAGAAAAAGCCCAGAACACTCAGCTGAACCAACAGTGTCCTGTGAAAAGAGTAAAGCATTGATTTAGGGAGCATGCAAAGTGAATGTTTCTCATACATGGTGTCAGTCCTAATTATCACAAATCTATTAAATCCACTTAATTTATATAGCATACAGACGCCAACACTGGAGAGGAGAAGGTCCATTTTAACAGGCACACAAATAACAAAATCGGTGATCTACTAATACGTTCTAACCTATTAACAGTAAACCAGGGGAAATGGTTCATCTTGAAAGCAGCAAAGTAAGAGGTGGCAGACAATGCAAAGGAAATAGCCTTGGAGCGGGTTTTCCAACAAGACGATGACCCCAAACACACCAGGTGGTGAATGGCATCAGAAAAAAAAAAACTAAAGCTTTAAGCATTTTATTGATGTATAAAGCAAATACATCTGTAAAAGAAAAATGTTCCCAATTTTTTCTTATTAATTTTTTCTTATTAATAAGGTCTGAAACAATTAATCTGATTAATCGTGATTAATCGATTTTTGAAATAATCCTCAATTAATTTAGTACTCGATTATTCTTTAACTGGAGTACCGGTATATAGATTCTAAAATGTGCCATAGCTGAGTAGCAGTTGTACCAAAATTGTTTAAAAAAAAATGTATAAACATTTTGCATCTAAGATAAAAAACTTTTTTGTCTGTCAATTTGTTGTATCCAGAACGCCTCAAGTGGAAAAGCTTTATTTTCACCTGGTTTAATTTCTCAAAAAATCTTCTTTAAGGAACCTTTTGCTGTTGATTAATCAATAAATCTAAAATAGAATTGACAGATTGATCAATTTGCAAAATAACCGTCGGCCATTGCAACGGTTTTTTGCAGTAACCAACCCTAAAATCTGTAGAATTAATTCCCTCCTGTGGATCACTGTGTAAAATCAAATCGGTAGAATTACTCTAACAAAGTTTACTTCCAAAACTTCCCATTACTGCAAAGATCTTCAATATTTAAGGGGAGCTATGACCACCAGGGGGCGCCAGACACCGGCAGATACAGTACCTCAAATTTTAGCCCCTACCTCCTATCCCTGATCCTTTCATGTGGTCAAAAGTATTAACTTTAAAACTTCAGTATTATAAAACCCTCAAAGAGAATACATTTCAACAACCGTGTAAAGACATATGACACAAAAAGCCAACATGGTTAAGAAAATAAGGGGGAGAAGGCAACATCAATTTCACAATCCTGTAACAAAAATACAGATAGAAAAGTTTAGGCTACATGAAGACTAAATCCAATTAGTGCAAAAGAGAAAAATTCATCATAAATACTTACAGTAATTTTAGTTTTCAGATACTTGTGGGGAATTTAATTCCATTATAAGTCACTAATAACGCTTGTGACTGCTGGTCATGTGTTCAGGTCTTGTATGAAGTAAATTTTGTTTGCAAGCAAAGAACACATTTTGTGAATGGAAATTTGAAAAAAACAAAAATATAAACACATTTTTCCGTTTCAGATTTAAATAATTAAAAAAAGCAATCCAGAGATTAGACTTTATTTTCTTTATGAGATTTATTCTTTTTCTTGATATTTTTTTCAGAAAAACAAAATTGTTATAAATTATATACCTACTACTTTTTGTATTTCATAGATTTTATAAACATATCTTTTTTTTTTTTTGTCCGTTTTAGAAATGCCATCCTTTTCTAATTGCGTTGTCTACGTGGAAATTCATGAACTCTCTTTGTAAAAGTTTGTTATTCTAAAAAAGTTAGACAGATACATGGATATGTTTTCAGCCAGCAAATTAAATGTTGACATTTAAAATTAAAGGACAATCTATTCAACCAAGTAAATGTTTATCAAGACTGAATAAAAAATACCTGGATATTATCAAACAAATTCATTAATTATCTGAAATAACTCAGCTGACATATGAAGTTCAAAGTTTTTTCATGAATCATCATTTGAATAATGGTTTTAAGAATATGATTAATGAATGTCAGTCTGAGTTGGCTAAAGAAAGAAATTGACAAAGTAATTTTGGATCTATTAGATTATTTTATTGACCAAACCACCCTTTTTTCCAGCCTTCTACCTTTTATTTCTAACATCCTAGTATTGTGAGAGCACTTATTCCTCCAGCTGTAGTTTTAGTGTCCTTAACAGATCTGACGCATTTAGATCAAGCTTTAAGACATTTAGGTAAAAGTGTTTAGCTAAAAGCTAGTCTTTTAATACTCAACTATGAAAAAGGTTCATTTTTTACCTCTCCTTTTAGGACGATGTTGAGGATCTCAGCCCCCCAGGCTGGGAGGGACTCGGGTCCCAGTCACTTTGATGATCTGCCACCCTTTGAAGGGCAGCGCCCTGGATCTGCTCAGTCACGTAGAGGCAGGAAACTGGTGGAATACTTCTGGATCCCTACAGACCAGGATTAACCATCTCTCGTCAAAGGAACTTTGAACTTTAACTGAAGTAAAATGATTAAGCTGCATAAAAAACAAGTACTGGTGCTCATGTATTGGACTTTATTGACATTAAAGCAACAGAGGTGCACAATAATTATGAATACCTTACAATAAGATGGCTTGTCGGCACGATTCCTGGGTATTATTTCATTGTTTAGCCGTTACATTTAAGAATAAAAAAAAAAACCTTTCCATCTTGTCAACATCAAAAAGCAACTTAAGCCGAGGTTTCAAATAAAATAAGCCATTTTAATTACCTTTACTCCAAACTCTGCATTTTATGGGTAGGTTTCTACCAGGTTAGCAAGATGTAGACAAAATGTTTGTTCTTTAGTACTGGGACTTAAAATCATGGGAAACCTCCTTGGAAATGCAAAAACAAAGTGCAATTAGACCAGGACTGAATAAAATTAGAACCCTTTGTCTTTTACCGTCATTTCATTTATTATCATAATCATCCCAGAACAAAAAGCCAATCTAACTAAGAGGTAGAAACAGGCAAGTTAACTCGTTTCAGCGTCGATCCTTTTAGTTTTTAACTGTTGTAACTCGAGTATTGCAACCACTCTTCACACACACAACATATAGGATAAGAGAGCTCCAGATCATGCAGAGGACCATTTCATTAAACCAAATGAGGGGAGAAAAAAAAAAAAAAAAAAAAAAAAAACACACATTGGGTTTGTGCTCGGGTGATTCAACACGCCAAGTCAGCTCATGCTTCATCTTGGCTTTAATAGGCCGATACTGTGGAACTGCCCTTATTCCCACACTCTGATGATCAAGTCCTTAATGTCGTTTTTCAGTTTTGCACACAATGGTGATCTTAAAGAAGCTCACTATCAATACCATTTCATAGATGTATTTAAATATCTGTTAAGATCTTCAGTTTTCTTTTTTTGCAAGATGGAGAATAAAGGTGTAAATAAAGTTTAAAAAAAAAAAAAAAACTGTTAAAGTGAGAAAATTAACCACAAACAAGGTGAGAAACTGGGTAGTCACTTTAAACTTAAAGAACTTGTGCAGCTGGCAGAACACAGAGCCCAAAAAAACAAAAGTTCACACAACATGAGGCAACAGGTCAAACTATGCTTCTTAGCCCCACAAATGAACCAGCTGTTGGTTTAGATTCACAGAAGCAGCTCGGTGCCACGTGGTAGTGGTTAAATTAAGCGTGGTGTTTTAAAATGAACTGAAAAACAAAGTGTCTAAAAACAAAGTGTGGTTCGAAGTCATGAGGCCCCTGCTTGGTTTCAGTCTGCTTCTTCCTCAGACTCCTCCTCTTCTGCCGTCTCCAGCCAAGTGAGCCACTGGTTTACCTGAAAGGAGGACAGATATTTTTCTCATAAAGAACAGACAAGCTTGTTAGAATGTCCAGCTTTGCTACAGCTTTAACCCACAGATACAAATTCTTCCAAGAAACACAAAGATATGGTGGTGATAAAATAAAACATTGATTCAAGTTTAAATACAGCATTTAATATACCGTTACATGGGTTTCAATTAAAATATATATTATATTTATTTTAATTTTTTATTTGATGGTTAATTTCTTAGAAAGCAGCCGAGCAGAGAAAGACAACTTCTAAATTTTTTTTTTTGTTTGTTTTTACTGACAAGTCATTAGCACCGGAAAAGGCAGAAATAACTTCAAAAATGTGTTGAAATTATTTAAAGCTCATTGGATGAGCATCTCAAGCTTTTGTATCCCTAGTTTGGTCCAAAATAAAAATGAAATTAGCTCATGAGAGTTTGCTGAGGTCTAGCATGGTGGGAGCCTCCATAGACTTCAGTAGAATTAATCTAAGCCCCGCCCACCGAATACCAGCAGCTAACATTTTCTCATTTACTAGAAAACAAACTACAGATATAGAGGGTTGAGATGTTCACAGTGCTGCAAATAAAAAAACATGGTTTGGAAAATTTACAACTTTTCCAGTGAATGCATTATATTTAGAGCAAAAAACAGTAAATGTTTTTTTTTTTTTTTAAACCACACACACGTATACGTACACACACGCATGTATATACATATCTTGAATCAGAAAAGTATTTTTACACTTTTTTCGAGCTGGAAATGTTTTAAACAACTTTTTGGCCCCAATTTAGCTCCATACTGGAACCTGGTTAGTTTTAATACCAACAGAGACATACCTGGAATAAAGCTTTTCCTTTTCCAGGGAATTCTTGGGTAATATCTTCTTTCCATGCAAGGAAGGCCTCTTCTTCAATAATCTCCATGTCGTAGAAGTTGACAAAGTAGCGCAGCAGCATCCCTTGTACAGACAAACATATACACAAAAACACGTCATTTATGCAGGAATCTAAGCTCGTTTCACAGACCTTACTCTATGCGTGTGTCATTTAACTTAACGGTTAGGAGAAGCTGTACCTTTAGGGAACCCACAGGCGTTGCATTGCACCTGCAGTGCGTAGAGGGCGCTGACCTGCAGCTCTGTGTGGTCGTGCAGGAACTTCTGCATGACGGGTTTGAAGGCCAGCAGCAGCTGCTTCTCCTGTTCCAGCTGTTCTTTAGAGGGGGCTGACAGCTGATCATCGCTCTCCGTCATGCAGAGCTCCTGGAAGATGTACTGGAGGAAACTGGAAAAAAATTCCCTACATTTAGTCCACATCATCAAAGCAAGATATTAATCATGTTCAGCAGGCAAAGCAAGCAGCAAAAGGCCCACTTCGCTCAGTTAAAAAAAAAAAAAAACACCTTGTCATGAGGATGTTGACAAAGCCTTTGTCAGTGTGAAGCTTAGGGGAAATGTTGTCTTTAATCCACTTGTAGATGGATTGAGGAGATGGGTCTGCCTTTATCTGCTTCAACAGCTCTTTCTCCAGCTTCAGCAGAGGGAACAGGAAGCTCAGCCCCTTCCCCTCCAGGATCTCCAGCATGCGGTCCTTATTCTGATCAATTTCTGTCAAAAGGAAGCAGAAAGGAAGGCGGTCACTGAGGGGCAGTTTTAAGTCTGCCTCTATCTTTAGCACATCTGCTCAGTTCCAAAGTATGGAGAGAATTTTCCTCCATTATTGTTGCAAAGAAAACTACGTAAATGGAAATTGGTGGAAGGGGAAAAAGAAATAAAAATACATTAGTGAAACTTTAAAAACCACAGGCTGGATTCGAACCCGGGTTGCCCGCTTCGAGGACTAAGGCCTCCATACATGGGTCGAGTACGCTAACCACTGCACCCAATCACAAATTTTTTTAAATAAATTTCTACTTCTCAGATTGAATTTTACAAATCGCTTAATTTTTTTTGTTCAGATCATATTCTCTTCACCTGCAGTAAAATACAAACATTCGCTCATGACCAGTGCTGCGCTACGTTTATTGAATGTAAACATAGTCGTTTCGGTTTTTAGATCAGACGCGACTGGCGTGGTGTTTTGTCGTTAATTAGCAGGTTGACCTGGGTCTGATGTTTCGACTGCATGTTGATCGGAGCCAAGCCATTTGAAGGAGCTTTTAACCTGGGCCGCTTGCCGTGTCATTTGACACTGGTTAGTGAGCTGTTCCCACTGCCACTAAAAGCCGACTGTTCCTGTGTTTAAACCGTTGTTTTTCTCCCAGTCGACTTTCATCGGCAGACCTTCAATCTCTGATGGAACCAACCATCATTTCTATCAGACAACTATCTGGCTTCTCGGCCAGTAAAGGGTTAGCATCTGAACACGTCTAACCTTTGAAAACTGTTCAATATCAGTGGCTGACTCCTGGAAATTTAACAGAAACACAGTCTGCAATCTATACCGCGTGGCGAGGGAAGGGGCTCTCTACCTGGAAGCATCTTCTGCATGTTGACCTTGCTCTGCTGAAAGAGTTCTGTGAGCCACTCGCGGTCCTTCAGCTTGGCTGTCTGCTGCAGGCAGAGCAGGAAAAGCGGGAAGTGGGTGCCGTTCTCCAAGGGGTGGGCCAGCTCCGCCACGCTCACCAGTTCTGCGATGATCGCCCGAGCAGCAAACAGGGCCAGGTAGGACTTCACCAGAGGCACATCCAGCTCGATCTTTGGGCACTGGTCAAGGACGTTGAGGAAAGCCTAAAAAGATGATTGAAAAACAAAGAGCGCAATAAAACCACTTGGCTCATTTTAAAGATGCACAGCTGGTTTAGTGTTTTATCTTCTTTGAAAAAAAAATTAAAAAATTTGAAAGTTTTATTGCTAAAAGCAGTGATTCCTAAGAAAGCTTTTACCATTTCCATGCTAACAAATCATTTATTTTGGTTTTAAACCATCCTTTTGAACAGTTTACTTGGTGTGATCAGTGACTTTCTGTACCTGCATGAAGTTTTCTCCAGAAATGAGCCCCTCGGTGCGCAGAGTGTGAATCAGAGTGCTGGCGTGCTCCTTATCCTCATCAGGCCGGTCCAGCGAACACACGATGATCTTGCTGAGCATCTCTGGCAGGAAGTGCTTTGGCGCCTTCATTTCTCGCATGCCGTTCACGGCCTCAGGCAGATTCTTGGTGTTTAGATAGTCAGTCATGATCGACTCCTGAGGACAAGGAAACAAAATGAGCTGCAGTTTGATCTTAAACCTCTATGCTCATACTTCAGTCGTGCTTCAAAACTGATGGACAGGGAAGGTCGTTCAGTTTTATTTAGGTGTTCTGTTAGAAACAGGGCAGTGTAGTCCAGCAAATACTCCTTCCCCCTGGCAGAGACGGCTAATCTGTTATTCTACACTGGATGAGATAGAGATCAGCTGCTGATGTTCAGAGCAGCTAACCAGCGTAGGCTTCATTCAGTCCTGTTTTCAGAGAACTTGAGGTTGATGTGTCCCTTCCATTCAGAAAGAGTAGAATGTCCCTCCATAGCTTCCGTATCAAGTCTCAAATGTATAAATAGTGCACCATTAAATTGGGGTAAATCGAAATCTGTCGCTTTAAAATGAAAAACTGTTTTCTCAAAACTTGCGATCACAGTGAGGGTTTTAAAAACTTGTATGTAAAGTTTCTGATTTCCAAAAAGGTTTGGGTTTCTTACTGTTGTTTTTAGAAGTTCCTCTTTGGCAGGAGGCGGCTTCTTGTTGGTCTTCTGGGGTTTCTCCTGGATAGGCGGAGGGTTGGTCTTCAGGCCAAGCTGTGGAGGCTGAGGGAGAGCAGGTACATTTTTTAACCCTAAATGATGTCCGTCTTCTTTCAAGAAAATTATTTTCTGTGAAAACAAAATTATCCTTTAAAGTTGGAGATTCATTTTAATTCCAACCTGTCCTAATGGAGGGGTTTGGGTGCGGGGGGGCTGAGCGCTGGGAGGCATCATGTTTGGGATCTGAGGCTGAAGCTTGGGCACCTGGTTCTTGTTGAGGAGGAATGACTGAGCAGGTCTGAGGCTGATCTGGTGACCAAGCAGCACAGAGAGAGGATAGAAAGGAATCAACTTTGTTCTTAAAATTTTAGAAAATCTAAGTCTGATCAGTTTTGATAAATGATGCCCTCATATCTCATAATCGCAGTCAGTGGACCTGCTACTAGAGTGAAAAATAAAGAGGAGGAAGGGCAGGAAAGGGAGAGGAGGTGTAGACAGAGCAAAGAGCAGAAGACAGACTAATAGCAGGGTTTGTTCCTCAGAATAACGCGTCTTTTCATAATCACTGGGCATCAAAGTGAAGAACTGTAGCAATTAGTGCTACAGG